AACAAAACTCAAGTTGTATTCTTTTTAATTGCTTACCATTCTTATTCAGTAATTTTGAGTGTGTTCAAAGTGGTATGTATGTATGTGTGTATATATAATAATGACATGTAATCTCATTCATGTATTAATATATAAACACGTATGTGTGCATTCATACCTCTTGACTTATTGCTTAGTAGCCCTTTTAACCAATGGGATTTCAGTATGCATTGCATTAATATAAACTCCTGGATTGGCTTAACTACCTCTGATGTCACAATTTACCCATTAGGAAGTCATAAGTTTCTTGAAATCACCTTGAACTAATAACATCTCTTGAATTTTCATTATAAGAAAGATAAAGTACCAAGAGGGAAAATGCTGGAAGGAGCAAGATGTATTCCATCCAGGCAGACTTTCTTCATTTCTGTGCTTCAGTGATCTGCTCTTGACAACTCAACCTAGCTCCTGTACCTCCTTTTACAGCAGATGTTCTTTCATTTTTCATATCTGTCAGTTAGTGGAGGAATGAACCCACTTGGACTGACTCCTTCAGTTTCCAGGTCTGTTTCATCTCGACTGTTGAGGCTTAGCATCTTTCTACTACTTAGCCTCCCTGCCTCCAAAGGAAAAGCAATATGGACGGCTCATCTGAATATAACGTTCCAGGTGGGAAACCGGATCATATCAGAGCTAGGAGAGAGTGGAGTGTTTGGGAATCATTCTCCTCTGGAAAGGGTGTCTGGTGCCGTGGTACTTCCCGAAGGATGGAATCAGAATGCGTGTAACCCCCTGACCAACTTCAGCAGGCCTGATCAGGCAGACTCTTGGCTGGCCCTCATTGAACGAGGAGGCTGTACTTTTACTCATAAAATAAATGTGGCAGCAGAGAAGGGAGCAAATGGGGTGATCATCTATAACTATCCAGGTACAGGCAACAAGGTGTTTCCCATGTCTCACAAGGGAACAGAGAATATAGTTGCAGTGATGATAGGCAACCTCAAAGGCATGGAGCTTTTGCACTTGGTCCAGAAAGGTGTCTATGTGACAATCATCATTGAAGTGGGGAGAATGCACATGCCCTGGCTGAGCCACTATGTTATGTCTTTGTTCACCTTTCTGGCAGCCACAGTTGCTTACCTTTTCCTGTACTGTGCCTGGAGACCCCGAGTTCCCAGTTCTTCTACCAGGAGGCAAAGACAGACAAAGGCCGATGTGAAGAAAGCTATTGGTCAGCTGCCACTCCGAGTGCTCAAGGAAGGGGATAAGGAGCTAGATCCAAACGAAGACAACTGTGTTGTTTGTTTTGATATTTACAAAACCCACGATGTAGTACGTATTTTAACTTGCAAACATTTTTTCCACAAGACGTGTATTGACCCCTGGCTTTTAGCCCATAGGACATGCCCCATGTGCAAGTGTGACATTCTAAAACCTTAAGAAGCCCAAGATCTTTCCACAGATTAAAATTAGATGAACTCTCTCACTGCACTGTACACACAGAGAAAACTTGACCCTTGGTTCCACTATCCAGCCACAGAAGATGAAATTTGTGTGCTTTGAAAATAAAACTCCATATCATGCCCATTAAATGTCTTTTTGATCAGTTTGTTAAAGGTTGTGTTCTCCAAATAAGGAAATAGGTACGTGTTGAAAAATAATACTTATCCTGATCTTCAAATTGCTGGGCTTATGCCATTGATGTAGTGGGAGAATTTCTGGGCTACTGTAAAGTTTCCTTTTTAACATATTTATTTGGGGGCTTTGTTTTAATACTTCACCTAACAGTTTACATTCTAGCTTCACTAAATCCTAAAGCTATAGGATTAGATTTGGATTTAAATTGCCATGGTTAATTAATTTTATTAATACCCAGGAAATCTGGTTTCCAAAGCTATGGGTTGAATGGGTTCTTCACTCTAATTATTTTAGAGGATAGGATGTGTTGTATATATAAAAGTTTTAAAGTATTTTAGGCATCAACTGCAAAAGTTGACCTGCTTGCTGGAGATCTTTAAATCCTAGCATAGTGAAACAGCCATGGTGACATAAGAGATACTTTCTTCTAAAAGTATCTCTTAGGGGTTGCTGTTGGCTTCTCCAATGGTAGTGAGCATCTGTGTGGCCTTGGACCACAGAGCAGAGCTAAACATTTTGTTCAGTTTCCATTCCAATACTATATCTGACTCATTTTTCATCCTCATTTCTGGTGAGTGGATAAACGCCTAAGTAGTACTAAAAAGCTGAAAGATGAGGGTTTGTGGTTTTGGTGAAAATCTCCCTTAGCTTTTAGTGTTCAATGTAGATAGCATGTGGAGGGGTCTTTACAAGTCTACACACTGTTTACTTCTCTTTTCCCAAAGAGCTGTTTGGAAATGAGTCAGTAATTGCTTCTGCAAGAGAAAACCAACCATTGTGGACTAAAAGTTCCACACTAATAGTCTTTCTGATTTATGCTTCTCATTTGAACATTTCAATTGATTAATTTTGTTAATTGACAATTTTAAACATACATACAGTGTATTCTGATTAATCTATCCCAGACACCCTTATCTCCTCCTCATCCTATCAGCCTGCACCCCTCATCACTACTAGTCCCTTCTAAGTTATGACCCATACAGTTTAGCCAGGCCTGTCTGGTTGAGTATTGGATAAGAACCACTCACTTCAGTCTGGTTCAGTCATCAGTGGGTTTACAACTGAAGGCAGTGTTTCCCCTTCCCCCTGAGTCCATCAGTAAGGAAAAGTTCTGCACTGGGGAATAGAATCTTTTGGTCTCCTCCAACTATTCCTAACTGTTGATGTGACCATTCTTGTGTAGTGACATCCACAACCTCTGTGAGCTCATCATTGTCATGTTCAGGAGATAGTATTTTGAGGTCTTTCTCCCAGTCTTCTAGCTTTTATGTCCTTTCTCCCTCCTCTTCTAGACTGGCATAAATGCCTTGTTCGAGGATGGACACTGAATTCAACACTCTGTGTAGCCAGGAATCTCTGTATGCACCACTGTTCACTACAAAATAGACTTCTCTGATGAAGACTGAGGGTAGTAGATGTCTATGGATATAAACAATACTCAGATCACAGTTGAACAGGATCAGCTGGCCATATCCAGTTCTTTCTCCTGTCCCTAGCCATGTGTTCTTGACTAGGTTTATAGTACCAGACACGGATTACCTCCCATGTAGTGGGTGTCAAATCTAATCGTTGCTGTTGCTCACCAGCAGTGGTGCTACTATTTCACAAGTAGGTGCATCTTGCCTGGCAGGTTGGTTTTTTTAGATCATAGGATTCATAACTGGGGAAGATCATTGATGTCCTCTCTCTCCCAGCAGCCTACATAGCATCTTCCAGTACTCAAAGCTAGCTGCAGGGAGGGAGCTTCCAGCTTGATTTCTCTGTACCATGAATCCAAGTTGTGTGATGTCTTCAGCAATAAGGTCTTATCTAATTCTAGCAGGCAGCCAAGAACCTACATTGCTTTGGGAGCCTCTGGAGCAGTGGTTCTCAACCTGTGGGTTGTGACCCTTTTGACAAACCTCTAAAAATATTTAAATTATAATTCACAAAAGTATCAAAATTACAGTTATGAAGTAGCAAAAAAAACCTATTTTATGCTTGGGGGTCACCACCACAACATAAGGAACTGTATCAAAGAGTGGCAGCATTAGGAAGGTTGAGAACCACTATGGAGCCTCCCTGACCAACACCTTATGTGCTGATTTTTGTTTTGCATGTAGAACTTTCTTCATTCCTGTCTCAAGTTGTTAGTTCATAAATTATAAAAAAGTACCAGTTTTCTTAGTCCTGGTGAGTCCAGTTTAAAAAGGCTTGTTTTTGAACCCTGCATATAGAGGCCAAAAATGTTTGTTCAAGGCAAAAGTCCTTAGCTTTGGCTTTCTAGCTAGGAAAATAGAAACATATTGCTACCTACCTGAGAATATAGCAGCATTCGTCACTGCCCATGTATGTTGATTCTTTAGCTGTAAAGTTAGCTACAGCCATTGACTAAAGGTAGTAATAATGGAAGCAGAGCAGGCAGGATGTATAGGATCTCCTAAGAGAGATATTAACTTTGGTCCAAAATTTCGTTAGTTAGCATCATCTCTTTATGACCTGCAACCATTGTTGCTGTCATTGGTTAACTTTTTAATATTGTTTTTTTTAATGAAGTTACATTTTAAAAATAGTCATTCTTGGATTATACAGCTATGCTTAATCTTTACTCTTTCACTCTTCCTTCTCTTCATTCAGAGTTTGGCTAGATTGGTAACAGCCATCAAGGTCAGCAAAGAAATAAGCCTCTGTCTGTGTTGAGTTTTTTATATTTATTTTTAATATCTGTATGTGCTGCTGGGCTGTCTGTGTTAAGTATGAGACAAGGAGATTCACCCGGATTCCGTACTCTTAACAGTGATTCTCAACCTTCCTGATGCTGCTACCCGTTAATACAGTTCCTCCTGTTGTGGTGACCCCCAACCAGAAAATTACTTTCATTGTTACCTCATAACTGTAATCTTGCTACTGCTACAAATTGTAATGTAAATATTTTTGGAGCTAAAGGTTTGCCAAAGGGGCCACAACCCACAGATTGAGAATCACTGCTTTAAAAGATTAAAACAAGACAAAACCAATAAATATCTCAGAAATCCTATATCATTTATTTGCATGCTTATAAAAAATTGACAGCCACCAAATATATCAAGTTCGTGTTATAGATCTCACTGATTTTTAGGCTCATTTGGTCACAGTCCTAATTTATGATTCTATGTCAATTTCAAACTTAATTTTGTCAGAAATGTTTATTAATGTGACAGTTGTAGAGTATTCTTACGTATGATTTGAGGTTTTTACAAAGAGTCAGTTGCAGAAATTTTTTTTAAGTTTAATGTGCTACCTACAACCATTTTTTTTTTTTATGACTCAATGATTGAATCATCTTATAAGCACACCCAAACTACCTATAGCCACAGTGGAAACATTTAAGCCAATACATTTACAGTGTGCTCTGAGCTCTTACCCAATTGGCTGCTTGGTCTTTTATGTCACAATCACCTCATGCAACAACAGTAAGCAGTTTCTAAAGTTACAGTGGTGAGAGGGATTTCTTTACTATCTAAAGTTTTTCTCTCTAATAAAACATCTGAAACTCAGGACATCTTTCGAAATCTCTTGCTGAAACATGTTGGAAGACGGCGGATCTTGTTTTCACCCAGAAGATACTTTTTCCTTCCTCATTTTGAATTGATTGTCAACAGATGTGGCAGCCACACGCTTTGGTTGGGTTGGCTCTTAAAGTCACTGGTGAAGGACAGAGATGAATCCCCTCCACACTGGCACTTGGCAAAACAGCGCCGCATCTTTCTGGCTTCTGAAATTCGGTTTGGTTTGGCTCCTCGGTCAGAAGTGCTGCACAGCAAGTGCAGTTTGGACTGCTTACATGAACATCTCATTTCACGTGGGGAACCGCATGTTGTCAGAGCTAGGGGAGACCGGGGTCTTCGGAAGAAGTTCCAACTTGAAGAAAGTAGCAGGAGTCGTTGTGCCACCAGAGGGAAAAACTCAGAATGCTTGTGATCCCAATACCGGTTTCATCCGGCCGCAGAACAACGAGCCCTGGATTGCACTCATTGAACGAGGAGGTTGCACCTTCACACAGAAAATTAAGGTAGCTTCTGAGAATGGAGCCAAAGGAGTGATAATCTATAACTTTCCAGGTACTGGCAACCAGGTTTTCCCCATGTCTCACCAAGCATTTGAAGACACCATCGTAGTTATGATTGGTAACTTAAAAGGCATGGAAATTCTGCATTTAATACGGAAGGGGGTTCTTGTTACCGTCGTGGTTGAGGTGGGGAGAAAGCATATTATCTGGCTGAATCACTATTTTGTCTCCTTTATGATCGTCACAACCGCTACTTTAGCATATTTCGCCTTTTATCATATTCGGAGACTCTGGGTTGCAAGGATTGAGACCAGGAGATGGAAGCGGTTAACAAGAGAGCTCAAGAAAGCTTTTGGCCAGCTGCAAGTTCGAGTATTAAAAGAGGGCGATGAGGAAGTAAATCCGAACGCGGATAGCTGCGTCATCTGCTTTGAACACTATAAGCCTAATGATACAGTTCGTTTTCTCACGTGTAAACATTTTTTCCACAAGAATTGCATCGACCCCTGGATCCTAGCCCATGGCACGTGCCCCATGTGCAAATGTGACATTCTGAAAGCTCTGGGGATTCAAATGGACATTGAGGATGGAACAGACTCTCTGCAAGTTCTGATGGCAAGTGAGCTGCCTGAAACCTTTTCACCCCTGGAAGAAGAGACAAATAATGAACTTCCTCCTGCAGGAACTTCAGGAAAAGTGACCCATGTCCAGGAGCACCCTACTTCTGCAAACTCTGATAGCCAGCCTCCTGCAGCAGAGGAAACTGGCCATCCTTCACTTGGACAGCATGACCTTTGAGCAAGTGGATTAAACAAACCTGTTTGTCAAATCAGATCCTCATACTGACAAGCCGTTTGCTTGAAGTGTGCTTTGTGTGTGTGTGTGTGTGTGTGTGTGTGTGTGTGTCATTTTCCGCCACTCTGCTGATTTTCCAAATCCACTGTCAAGCTTCAAATACAGGGGAAAGAAAACCTGGCAGGATTTTATGGCTTTTTACCTCTGCTAATTTTAACTTTTTGGCAATGTATTATTCTTGTGAGTGTGCCCATGTTTATTTCTAGTTAACCTGTGTTAAAACCAGAGTCCAACTCCCCCCCCCAATTATGTTTGTGTGTTTATACCTGGCTTTATTTTGGTAAGAAAGTTGTTAATATGTTTTTTGCACTTTTCTGGTAAGAAATCGTCAGTTATCTTTCACGTTGTAGCAATGGTAAAAGTCAATATATTATACTATAGTAATTTGATGTCATTATGTTGCCGTGCTTTTTTCATTCTTTGAAATGAAAATTTGTTATACAGAATTCTTTTGTTTATCCTTGATCAAGAGTTCTGTTCAAGCAGTTAGTAAGTTTTATATAACAGTTATCTGCATAACAAGAAAATCTTTAGAAATAAAGTACTAAAACTCTTTAAGAAAAGTACATATTTTAGTGCTTAATATTGCTTATGAGTAATATATGATCATGATTTGTTGAATAAAGTTATATAATTTCTGTGATGTTTTGTCCTGTCATATTTAATTTCCAGGGGTTTCAGTCGTCACCCCAATTAGTTTTTTTCTTTTTTTGTCCTTAATAAAAATGTTTTAAACATGCCAGATTATTTTGAAGAATGTAGCTCAGTGTAGAGTGATAGTTCTGACATATTGGGCTCATGTTAGTTGTGCTCACTGTATTTAGTCTTGCACAGTGTATGGCACTCAGGGGTTTTTGGATGAATAAGTAAGCTTAGGAATATGAAAGTATAGATATTTTTCATAGTATGTTATATTTTAATCTGATAAACTAAGCTGTTTATTCCCATTGTAACAAATAATGGAAAACTGATTCTGAAATTTTATTTCCAAAGTCACATTGACAAAAATAGTAAATTTTAATTTTAGTTGAGAATTCATTGTAATGTCTTGCCTTGCATAGGAGTTTAGCATAATTTCAGTGAGTCTTTGAACTCTCTTAGGCAAATACTGGAGTATGAATTATTGGGCAGAGCTAGAGAGACCTAGTGAGTATGAATTGTTCATACTCTGTGAATTGTTCCTTGCATAACTTGGCTGCAAACACAACCCAACAGAGACTATTAAAAGAGGAAGGGCATTCATGCAGGGCCAGGAGAGCCAAGATACAGCAACACTTGGGCAGATACCAGGGTGAGGTCACATCTTCCTGTTACATACAGGCCTTTGTGTTCCTGACCCTGAGAAGGTTTGACTGCTAATCATACAGAATACCAGGTTTACTGAAGGATTTAGCAGGAACTGAATTTCCAGTGTTTTCATTTTTTTCTTAGGACAGTGAAGTTATTCCTTACAGTACCTACTGTCAGTGAGAGAGAAGAGCCCAGAGGACTCTACAGGAACTCTCCTTGGATGATTAAATACTGAATAGATAAGCTGTCATCCTTAGACTGTATGGTGCCACTGGGAACTGGGCTTATGGATTAGCTTCAGTGATTTTCACTGAAGCTCTGGAGATGTTGGGTTGGTATCTTCCAGAGTACTTGGCCAAGGCCTTGAAGGCCTTGGGTTCCATTTCCAACATCACAAACACTACCACTAAAAAAACAAACAAACAAAAACAGAAAAAAAAACTTGAAATGTGTATATCTGGTACTGTGGCATTTTGTCATATTTTCTAAACATAAAGTTCTAGGATCATTAGAGCTCCTTGCAAATTTACATGAGGTCCTTATTTGTAATAGGCATAGTGTATGAGGCACTTACTTATCCTTTCCTCTCAAATGCCACTGTGTTCTCCTTTTCCTCCTCTGTAGCCTCTTGGCTTCTCTTTTCCTCTTTTTTCCTTCCTTTTGTCCATCACTGTCAAGCTTAGACTTAACTCCCAGCTTTAAGAAATTACCATGGGCCGGGCGGTGGTGGTGCACGCCTTTAATCCTAGCACTCAGGAGGCAGAGCCAGGCGGATCTTTGTGAGTTTGAGGCCAGCCTGGTCTACAGAGCGAGATCCAGGAAAGGCTCAAAGCTATACAGAGAAACCCTGTCTCAAAAAAAAAAAAAAAAAAAAAAGAAAGAAAGAAAGAAAAAGAAAAAAAAAAAAGAAAGAAAGAATTTACATGGTTCACTTATGTAAAAGATTATCTTTTGCTGGTATGGATAGTGAGCATTTAACAGTATATATCATGGAATTCAAGAATTTTCAGTGAATTCTTTTAAGGTTGGTTGGAGTTTGTATTAGAGATGGGAAAGGAGGGTCAGGTCTGCGAACTTGGAAACTGTGTGTCTGTGTGTCTGACAATGACATTAAGTGTTCTATAAAGCTGCTGCTTTCTTATGTCAAAACAAAATAGCAGCTTCAGTCCTGCCCTTCTAATGATTCGTTGTAAAAAAAATCAAGCACTTTTATTCCAGGTTGATTTTATTTGTGGGTTTAGTAATGAGGAACTGGAATTAGTTTTGCTCTGTTAGATATTTATTATGATGGCAGATATTGGTTGTAGTTGAATTTTTACCTGCACTATATAGGCAATGCCATTTTGTTTTGGACCCAAATATAATGCAAAAATATTTTGCTTGATGATATGGAACTGGAATATATGATGTTTTGGCACAATGCCAATACCATAATGAGTTTACTTTTGATACTTTTTTTTATAGGTTTTAGTATTCTTCAGTAGTCAGTGTTTTGTTTCCTGCCCCCACACCCCATGATCAGTAGGATTTTTTTTTTAATAAAAATTAAATTTCTTTTCTCATCATTAGTGGGACAAATTGTTTAATTTTTTTCTGAAGTGAAAAATATTCTAGTATATTTTTACCTGTTATTGCCTGACTGAATAGTACTCATTAAACATAAACTGTAATGATAATATCTTTTTGTCCTGCTGTAAAATGGTTGTAATGATCCTAAAAAAAAAAACAAAAAAAAAAAAAAACAAAAAAAAAACATGCTGGTCAATAGCTGTTTGAAGTAGTGGGAGCCCTTCATAAGATCTAGTGAGCCAGGGATCTGGCTAGCCTGATGAGCACACTGTATATTTAAAGTGGTCTCTTTCCAGACATCTGATTATTGAAACAACAGAAGGAACCAAGAAGAAGAATATTAAAGTCTGGGGAACTGAGAGAGGCAAAGGGGAAGTCTTCCCTTGTTGTTTCTGAGAATCAATCATTATTATAGAGATGTCCTCCTTCTGTTTCATTCTTCACCAATAAGCACCTCTGGGAATTTTAAAAATGCATTTGTTTCTTTTGTAATTACTGTGATTCCAATGTTTCGGTCTTACTGTTTAGAAATTATTGCATTTGCTACCATAGGAATATCTTAAAGCATAACTGGCTTTCAGAGAAAAAAAAAGTGGCTTTGTTTTGTTTTGTTTTTTCAGTAGGGGACATTACAGACATCTCATTTACACAGTTACACCTAACTTGTAACACCTCTCGCCCCAGGTGACCTCTGGCAGGCCAAGAGGACACTGTATGCCCAGTCAGCGTAGGTGCATCCTTGTCGATCACTAAGGCCACTCTGATTTAGTAACTGCTCTGTTTGGTTATTTCACCTCCATTTCAGCAGTTGTCTGCTCTGTGTGTGGTGTGTATGTGTCTGCGGGGGCAGGGATTGCTTGGGGATAGGTGGCTACATATGTAAATGGCTGCATGGAGATGCCAGAGGTTCATGTCAGGTGCATTTCTCGATTGCTTTCTGCCTTACTTGGTGAGACAAGGTCTCTCACGGAACCCAGAGCTCATTGATTTGGCTAGACTGGTCACCCATCAAGCCCCAAAGGTTCTGCTGTCTCTGCCTCCCCAGCTGGAATTATAGGTGAGGATTGTGGTTCAGTTTTTTTTTTTTTTTTTTTTTTTTTTTTTTTTTTTTTTTTTTTTTTTTTTTTACATAGGTGCCAGGGAGCGAATGTAGGTCCTCATGTATGTATGACAAGTACTTTATTCTCTGGGCCGTTTCACCAGCTCCCATCAACATTGTTTTTGCCACATATCAAGTTGTGTTGTCTTTGAAAACTTACCAACTTAGAACACTGTTCTCAGAATTTCCTCTTAAAATCTGCTTGACCCAACATCCCCACCTTTCCATCAGGCTTGCTTCTGACTCTCATTGTAACAAAGATCTCCCTCAGCCACTAGCACTTCCCCTTCCTCTTGTTCTTTTCCAGCGTGATACAGAATCAAATTTCAAGTTGTTTTACCATCCAAGTAAAGCCACTGCATGCTTCCCCTTTACCGTTTTCATAGTATCATTTACACTTAATCAAAGTAGCCGCTTTTAATATTTCCGCTCCACAGCAGCCACTTATTATTTGAGTTATAGTGGATCTTTATTATCTACTTTTGACAAGATCTTTGCTCCTATTAAAAATTAATAACCTTTTGATCCCCTTCTCCATTTTCTGTAGTACAGTACTTCTAAGCCTAGACTGCATATCCGAATAACCTGGAGTTAGTTAAAAAGGCTCAGTGCCCCTACTGCACTTAAATCTCTAGACCAAGACATAGACCCAGTCTTTATAAAGTTGTTCAGGGGATTTCAGCTATACTCTAGATTGAGAACTAGCACAGGACTATAACAAAGAGCCTTGGCTGTTTAATTTCCTTCAAGATGACTTGATTTCACTTTATGAAAAGTATTTATGTAGGAATCAAAGTGTAAATTTAGGAAGGGTTAAGCTTCACTGAAAAGAATTAAAACACACTTCTGGAAATTAGAGATACATTTCACCTGGAGAAACAAAATCTGCCTTCTGAAAATATTTGAAGTGGAAGTACTTCCAGGTTTGAAAAAATAATTCTCAGTACCAACAAAATGGTTCGGTGGGTAAAGGCTCATACCATCAAGTTTGATAGCCCAAGTTTGATTCCTGGGACCCTGGAAAGAGGAGAGAACCTACTCCACAAAGGTATCCTGTAGGTTGTACATTCACATTCTCATTCTCTCATTCTCTCGTTTTCTCTCTCTCTCACTGTCTCTGTCTCTGTCTCTCTTCCCCCCCACCTCTCCCTCTCCCTCTCCCTCTCCCTCTCCTCTCTCCTCTCTCCTCTCCTCCCCTTTCCTCCCCTCCCCTTTCCTCCCCTCCCCTCCCCTCCCCTCCTCTCCCCTCCCCTCCTCTCCTCTCCTCTCCTCTCCTCTCCTCTCACTGGTTCATGCATACTCATACACACTGTAGTTTATATGCACACACACACACACACACACACACACACACACACACACACTGAAAATGTAATAACATCTTTCTGCAGGAGGGAACAGTGGGAACAAGTGTTTCATAAAGAAGATCAAATGTCCAATACAGTTTTGGTTGAGGACTTGATAAGACAGGAGATTGAAAATTCTATTGGAATAAACAATTGTATTCAAGTATGAGCTAAGACAATAATAGGCAAATGGATGAGTTGCCTCCAAGATACCATGCTCCTCATTTGCTAGTACAAATTTTCCATATTCCTTATTGATGACCAAGGCAACTGATTTCAAAACTTTTCCTGTAATTTTCTTCCTCTATTTATCACCAATATAATAACACACCAATGATATAGAAGAGGTAGAGATGGGTCAGGAGTAGTTGAGGAACAGTGAAGAGTCAAGGATGACCTCCCTCTTCTAGT